CTGCTCTACAGCAGGTCGGGGCGCCAACCTGAGGGGGGGCGGGGGGGGATCTGTGCCACCGCGGGTCGGATCGCCATCCTAGGGGGGATACGGCGGCCCGCTCGAAAGTCAGACGGGTCGACCCTCAGGATGAGGAGGAAGGATGAGGAGCGGAGGAAGGAGGAGGAGGATGAGGAAGAAAAGGAGGAGGGAGAGGAGGAGGAGGAGGAGGAGGAGGATGAGGAGGCGGAGGAGGAGAGGCGGAGGAGGTGAGGAGGAGGAGGAGGAGGCGGATGGAGGAGCAGGAGGAGGAGGAGGAGGAGGGAGGACGGAGGAGGAGGAGGAGGAGGAGGAAAGGAGGAGGAATAGGACAGGAGGAGCGGAGGAGGAGGAGGAGGAGGAGGAGCAGGAGGCAGGAGGAGCAGGAGGAGTAGGAGGAGGCGACGGAGGAGGAGGAGGAGGAGGAGGAGGAGGAGGAGGAGGAGGAGAAGGAGGCAGGAGGAGGAGGAGTAGGAGAAGGATGGGGAGGAAAAGGAGAAGGAGGAGAAGCAAGGAGGCGGGATGATGATGCTGCTGATGATGACGATGACGATGACGATGACGATGATGGATGATGATGATGACTTTTGGATGATGAGGAGGAGGAGGAGGGAGGAGAGGAGGCAGAGGAGGAGGAGGAGGAAAGGAGAACGGAGGAGGCGGTAGAAGGAGGAGGATGGAGGAGGAGGAGGAGGAGGAAGAGAAGGAGAAGGAGGAGAAGCGTGGAGGAGGGATGATGATGATGATGATGATGATGATGCTGATGCTGATGCTGATGATGATGATTATGATGATGATGATGATGATGATGATGATGATGATGCTGATGCTGATGCTGATGATGACGATGATGATGAGCATGTTGATGATAATGACGATGATGATGATGATGATGCTGATGATGATGATGAGGAGGAGGAGGAGGAGGACGAGAAGCAGAAGGAGGAGGACGAGGAGAAGGAGAAGGAGGGATGCCTCGGATGAGATATGATGATGAATGATGGATGATGATGATGATGATGACGAGATGGAGAGATGATGATGTGATGATGATGATGCTGATGAGAGATGATTGATTATTGATGATGAGGCTGATGACGAGGAGGAGGAGGAGGAGGAGGAGGAGGAGAGGCGGGAGGAGGAGGAGGAGGAGGAGGAGGAGGAGGAGAGAAGAGGAGGACGGAACAGGAGGAGACGGGGAGGAGGGAGAAGGAGGAAGAGGAGGAGGAGGAGGAGGAGGAGGAGGATAGTAGGGAGGAGGAGGAGGAGGAGCAGGAGGATCAGAGCAGGAGGGAGGGGAGGAGGAGAAGGAGGAGGAGTAGGAGGAGGAGTAGGAGGATGATGAGTGAGGAGGGAAGAGGAGGTTGAGGAGGAGGAGGAAAAGAGGAGGATGAGTAGGAGGAGAAGGATGAGGAGGAGGATGAGGAAAAGGAGGAGGAGGGGGAATATGTGGAGGAAGAGCAGAAGAAACGATGAGTAGGAGGAGGATGAACCGGAAGATGAAGGGGAGAAGGAGGAGGAGGAGGATAAGCGAGGAGGAGGGATGATGCTCATGATGATGACGATGATGATGAAAACGATGATGATGATGATTATGATGATGATGCTGCTGATGATGATGATGATGATGCTGATGATGCTGATGCTGATGATGATGACGATGATGATGATGATGATGATGATGATGATGATGATGATGATGATGATGATGATGATGATGATGATGATGATGATGATGATGATGATGATGATGGTGATGCTGAGGAGGAGGAAGGGGAGGAGGAGGAGGAGGACGATGAGGGGGAGGAGGCGGAGGAGGAAAAAACGGAGGAGGATGAGGAGGAGAAGGATGAAGATGGAGGGGCGGTAGGTAGGAGGAGGAGGAGGGGAGGAGGAGGAGGAGAGGAGGAGGAGGAGGAGGAGGAGGAGGAGGAGGAGGAGAGTAGGAGGAGGAGTAGGAGGAGGAGGAGGAGGGAGGAGGGAGGAGGAGGAGGAGGTAGGAGGGAGGAGGCGGAGGAGGAGGTGAGGAGAAAGAGGAGGAGAAGAGGAGGAGGAGGAGGAGGAGGAGGAAGGAGAAGGAGGAGGAGGAGGAGCAGGAGGGAGGAGAGGAGGAGGAGGAGGAGGAGGATGAGGAGGAGAAGGAGGAGGCGGAGGAGGAGGAAAAGGAGGAGGAAGAGGAGGAGGAGGAGGAGCAGGAGGGAGGAGGAGGAGGAGTAGGAGGAGAAGAGGAAGGATAAGGAGGAGGTAAAGGAGGAGGCGGAGGAGGAGGAGGAGGAAGAGGAGGATAAGCAAGGAGGCGGTAGGATGAGGATGAGGAGGAGGATGATGATGAGGAGGAGGCGGAGGAGGAGGAGAAGGAGGAGGAGGGAGGCGTTAGGAGGAGCAGGAGCAGGAGGGAGGAGGACGAGGAGGAGGAGTAGAAGAAGGAGGAGGAGTAAACGGAGGAAAAGAAGAGGGAAAGAGGGAGGATGAGGATGAGAGGAAGAGGGAGTATGATGATGATGATGATGATGATGATGAGGAGGAGGAGGAGGAGGAGGATTCCAGGATATCTGCCATCACGTAGTGATGGTCATAGTCTCACAAAGGCCACCCCTGTGCTTGATCAGCAGCGAGTGCACAAAGAAGTTGAATACGACCTGATACCGTATCGCCAGACAGGGCTTGGCGGAACGATAACGACACCGCCACGGGTACCTCCTCTGTGACATGTTCACCCACTCTCTCGAAGACAAGACAGATACAGGCTGCGCGCGGAAGGCAAACGCGTAAAGACGCACCATACCAACCGTGATACAAACGCCAATGTACTACAACTGAGCCGGAGCGGACTCGATGCAGCCCATGGCGAGGTTCCTACTTCCGTACAGAACGTACAGCTCGAAACTGGGTTCGCCCACTCCGAAGACAACCTTCTCCTTTGATCAGCAGCACTGGCGAATGACTAACACCACCAAGCAGGCGCCAAGGAGGACGTGCAGGACAGTGATGAAGGGCATGCAAAAACTGTCATAGTACACCCAGGAACGGGGGGGAAGGCTCCGGAGAAGCCAAAGCCGCACCGCCGTAAGGGCGGCCTCCAGCGGCAGAAACGAAGAAGACGGCTACACAAATGACCTCGTCCATGACCGCACCGCCGCCGGGGCGGCCTCCAGCGGCGAGACTAGCACGGCCGCGCCGCCATAACAGCGGCCTCCAGCGGCGGAGGCGAGGAAGAAACACTTGCCGCAACGCCGTAGGGGCGGCCTCCAGCGGGGGAGCAGCAAAGCCGCACCACCGTAGGGGCGGCCTCCAGCGGCGAGAAAAGCAAGAGCCGCACAGCCGCAGGGGCGGCCTCCAGCGGCAGACGCGAGGAAGACGCCAGGCAGGGTGCCCCTGTCCATGCCCGCACCGACGTAAAGGGCGGCCTCCAGCGGCGAAGAATTCAAGAACCGCACCGCCGTAGGGGCGGCCTCCAGCGGCAGACACGGGGAAAGCGAGGAGGAGGAGGAGGAGGAGGAGGAGGAGGAGGAGAAGGAGAAGGAGGAGGAGGAGGAGGAGGAGGAGGAGGAGGAGGAGGAGGAGGAGGAGGAGGAGTATGTTAGTACTCCGCGGGCCGCCCGTCGCCACGCTCGCACCCAGGCCCGAGGCGATACTAAGGGGAGGCGAAAGAGGAGGAGAGGGGGGGAAAGGAGGCGGCTCCGCCAGCTCACGTCGACGCCCGTGAGCCGCGGCGGCCCCCCCTGGTCCTGCTCCGTTGCGTCTGCCCGCGGGGCCCCCTGCTTGAGGATACGGCGACCACGACGGATGCCAGAAGCCCTCTGGCGTCCGTAATCCGCTGGCACATGAGCAGCATCGGACTTTGCGGTTCCCTTCTTCATGCACGACTCGCGCTTGCAGGGCGGCCCGTGACGGCTGTAGAACCACGGGAAGCGGAGTGGGGGCAGGTGAGGACGCAGCCCCTTCACCCTCTCGCGGACCTCGAACACCATGGCCGTCCAGCGCCTGCCGCGCATGGAGAGGCGAGCGGCGCGGGCCAAGCTCTCTTGCATGGCAGCCCCAGAATCAGCGGCGCCATCGGGGTAGCTCCAATGCAGGAGGCCCCAACCTCCGCCACAGACAGGCTGCAGCCGACACTCCAGGAAAAGGTGTGGCCAAGTCGCCGCCCTGTCAATGTAAAATCTGGTCGGGGTATGCACGCCTGCCTCTCCACCCACCACCTGGGCAGGGCGCGCGGCCTCTCCTCCCACCACCTGGGCCTCGGCCTCTCCTCCCACCACCTGGGCCCTGCCCGACGTCGGGGAATGCACTCGTTTCACGACACCTGCAGCAACGACAGGGCGTGAGGCTGTGGCCGCTCGACCCGCCACCTGGGCCCAACAACCCGCGGGGACCCCTCCTCCCACCACCTGGGTCCTGGCCTCGGCAGCTCCGCACGCTGCCTGAGCCCTTCCCGACGTCGGGGAATGCGCGCGCTTCACGCCATCTGCTGAGCCAGCAGGGCATGAGGTTGTGGCCACTCCTCCCGCCACCTGGGCTCCACAACCCGCGCGGACCACTCCTCCCACCACCTGGGGCCTGGCCATCTCAAGGGCCCTTCCCGACTGTACCACAGCAGTGGGGCATGCAGCACCAGAATCCGAATCGCCAGCGAAATCGCCCACGGTCTCGAACGCGTCGTCGGAAGTCCTCTGATCCCGATCCGTCTCGAGGTCCCGCCGCTCCTGCTCCAGCGAGTCGGGCGGCTGCTCCCCGAGCCCCACCTCGATGTCAGGATGCGCACCGAGGGGGTCTGGAGGGCCTCCGTCCTGCGTCCGCGACGGACTGCTCGAAGCCGAACCGCAGGAAGAACAACGACTCGCACAGGAGCCAGAACGTGCAGACGATGACAGGTACGGTGCCTCCAGCAACACGTGGAGGTCTTCCACTCCTTCTCGCAAAGTGGAGTGGGCCCCAGCGCGAGGGCGAACGGGCGGAGCCTCCCGCCGCCAAGCCGTCGACACCTGTGGGGCCGCCAGCCCGTTCCCTCCGGCCCTGGACGCCACGTGCTCCGCGACGCAGATCTCGACCGAGAAGTTCGAGAGATCCACGCCTCTCTCCGCGCCCAGCCGCTGCCCCTTGGCGGCCGTGCGGAGCTCCGACGACGACGCCGTGTGGATCCGCCCCTCCAGCGCGTGAGCACGGGCATGAAGCGCCACGTGGCGCCTGAGGCGATCCAGCCAAGGCGGAACTCGACCTGCAGCCAGATGCTGCAGCGCTGGGATCACCGCTGCAGTGCGATCCGCGACCGCAGCGTCGCCCACCAGGCTCGAAAGGGCGGACTCCGCGAGAGCGAGCCTCTCCTCCAGCTGCTTGGCTGCACCCACTGCATTGCGAACGGCACGGTCAGCAGCCTCCCGAGCGCGGCCACGCCGAGCCTTGCGCGCCGCCGCCGATTCCCAGGCCTCCCCCACAGGGGCCCCTCCCGCAGCCACCATGCTCGCACCTCCCGCCGCGCCAGGGGGGTTCGAGCCAGCGTGAGCCAAAATGGCTACGGAGGAGGAGGAGGAGGAGGAGGAGGAGGAGGAGGAGGAGGAGATGCAGTGGAGCCCGTGTGGCAGGGCGGCGGGGGCGTGGAGGCCCCGGGCCGGGACGGCGAGGGCTCTGCACGGTGTGCGACCTGGGGGGACTTCTGCGTCCTGGCGCGTCGCGGCGGCGGCCCTGGCGACACACGCCGTGGCACTGTCTAACCGTGCTATTCGGCACCTAGCCCACGAGCATTCGGCACCTAGGATACTACTAGTACTGGTCCCGAAGTGGGGCGACTGAACAGAAGCGTCGCCTCCTGAACCTCCTTCTGCGAGCCCTGCGAGCGGAGCGGCGTGCCGCCGCGCTCCGCGGGACGGGAGGCCGGGGAGAGCCCGGAGCGTCCACGCTCGCCATGCGTGCGCGAAGTTGCTGCGCGCGTCGCTGCCGCCAGGAGGGAGCAAACGCAACCACAGCTGGCAAGATCTTGGGATCCGTCGGGCCGCCCGTGCGTGCCCCGGCGACACGCCATGCCCTGCGAGTTGAGCAGCGTGGGGCGGCTTTCGGAGTCGAGAATCCAGGAGGATCGAAGATCGAGGAGGGTCGCGGATCGGGCAGCATCGAGGACCGAGGAGACTCGGAGGTTGAGAGGAGGACCGAGGATCGAGGAGGACCGAGGATCGACGAGGACCGAGAGTCGACCGATGATCGACCGAGGAGCAGCGTGTCGTCGTGCTCCGCGGGGAGGGGGGCTGGGGAGAGCGCGGGACGCCAACGCTCGGGAGCTGGGGGGACGATTCGCCTGTCGCGCCGCGGCGTGGTGGGCCAGAACCGGCGGTGCGGCGCGCTGAGCATCGTTGCCACGTCGTGCGGCGCATGGTGCGAACGCATATACGGTCGCAGCAGTTGCTGCAGGCAGGTGTGCATGCATGCGTGAGTGTGCTGCGCGCTTCGTTGCCGCCGGGGAAGAAGAAAGGTAACCACAGCTTGGAAGATCTTCTGTTTCGACGGACCGTCCGTGCGCGTCTTCCCTGGCGCAGCGTGTGCGAAGAAGGAAGGGGAAGGCATGGGGGGTGAGGGAGGAGGCGGAGGGAGAAGTTGAGCGACAGGAAGACGGGAAGGAGGCAGAAAGGCAGGGAGATAAATACGGCTGCACAGGCACCGCGGGGCGAGAGGGGGGGAATAACCACGAGAGAATCGGGGAGGCGGTCGGAGGAGGCGCGATCTGGAAAGACTGGGACACGGGATGGAGGGTATATATACAATCAAGCTGCTGCCATAAGGAGTGCTGAATAAGGACCGAAGTCCCTTCTTGACACCACAAGCGCCCAAGTGCACGAAGAGCGCTGGGGAAACATCCGTGCAAGGACGCAGGGCACAGCGAGACCCTTCCGAACCCGAACTGCTCCTTCTTTCAACGCGTGGGGCGGGGCGTGGGGCTGAGGTCAGAGTGGGGGGGAACGGTAGGGGAGGAGAGGGGGGGGAGGAGAGGGGGAGGAGAGGGGGAGGAGGAGGAGGAGGAGGAGGAGGAGGAGGAGGAGGAGGAGGAGGAGGAGGAACGTTGGGGGGCGGACCAGCTCAGGGGGGGAACATCTACCTGGCACTTGGCGGTACATCGCCGATAGGTCGGCGCTGTGCTCCTGGGCGGGTGTGGGCCGTCGGGCCACGATCGGCGATCCACTGGGCGATGGGGGGGTGGATGCGTCCCCCGCGTGAGCCCATCCCCACGCTCACGCTGCAGGGCCCAGGGAACAGCGGGACCCAAGAGATCCGCGCGGACCCTGTGTCCATGCAGCTGCTTCTACGGACAGCTCGCAGAGAGCTCGGATGGTTTCAGATGAGGAAGCTGGAACCGCAGGGTAGCCCCAGAGCTCGCTGCGGTTTCCGTGAAAACACCTCTGCGGGGCCGGCTTGAGCTACCAGCGTGTTCTGGCAGACCTTCTCAAAGCGTTTTCCAATACGTCTGCCTGGAAGCTCTCCTCCAGAAGCTCCTTCCAAGAGCTTCCACAACTTCTTCGAGAAGTCTTTGCACGCCCCTCGGGCGCCCTGCTATCCGGGTCTTGGACCTCACAAGTCGCCACCGACCTCCGGACCTGAACTGTTCCTTCTCTTGACACGTGGGGCGGGGCGTGTGGAAAGCGTCAGCGGCTCTGCATCAGATCGCGCCATGCAGGCGGCCGCGCCGCGCTTCGCGCTCGCACGGGGGCCTCCGATTCTGGATGGCTCTCGAAGCCTGCAGCAACAAAAAATCCCGGGCTGGCGCTCTTCGGGCGCCCGTAAGCGGGGGGGACCCCAGCTCTCCGACGTTTCTGTTCTGCGTGTGGGGGGGGAGGGCCCTGCTTCCACAACTGCGGCCTCGGGGGCTCGCTGTCGGGCCCCGGGACCAGCAAACATGGATCCGGGGCTCGCTGTCGGCCTCTGGGGCACTTCTCGGGGCCCTCCTCCTCCTCCTCCTCCTTCTTTTCCTCCTCCTCCTCGTCCTCCTCCTCCTCCTGCTAAGGGGGGCGGTCAATGTCCCCCTCTCGGGCGTGCACTTCTAGGGCCCTCCAGGTCCCTATTTGGACCTGGACCTCTGGGCCGGAGCAGTGCGGAAAAAGCGTGGACGGAGGTCGAAGAACATGTGCGCCCTTCCAGCGCCCTCGTGGGCCCGCAGTGGCAGTCCTGTCGAGGCCGCCTCCCTGCACCCCCCGATCACTCCCCCCCCCCCGGCTCGTTTCCTGTCGGGAGTGGTGGGTCTGACGCAGGCGGGTCCGCGCGGAGGGGTGCAACAGCGCCTTGCAAGACGGTGGGGGCATTGGACAAGGAACCCTTGCTCAGGAATCCAGGGCCTGGAAGCCAGTGGAAAGCCAATCGTGGATCGGCCATGGATATCACCGCCGCCCTCATTGGATAAGAAACCCTCCAAGGTTTGGCGCCTCTTGGGCGCATTCCTTAACAACCGCCCCCACCGTAGTTGGCGCCTGGATGCAATACTTTGCGCGCTGGATGTTATTGCGCGTGGATGCCGTCGTGTGGCTTGTCGCATATGCAAGACTTACCGCCCGTGCGACAGCTCGCGCCCCCCACCCCCGCAACAGTGGAGCAGAACCATTGCACGCAATCGCAGACCACTTGATGAACGACCGAGCCTCTCCCGGCCGACACATCTGCGCCAGACCCACCGCTTTGATTTAGGTCGGGCATGTCCTCCTACAGGGGAATTGTGGACGACAAATAATACATGGGCAAACATATTCAAATAATCAAAACATAATCAAACAATCGTCCACAGACTATTTTTCCCAACCCTCCTTGGTTGGGTGTTCGTTTTGAACGGAGCGCTGCGGTCGCGTCTTCTTCTTCTCCTTCTCCTCCTCCCGCCTCCCGCCTCCCGCCTTGTGCGCACCTTCCGTGTGTGCATCTTGCCTGCGGTACCTCTTGTGTGTGTGCATCTTGCCTGAGGTGCTGCTATCTGCGAAACTGTCGCCACTTTCGAGAGCTGCTGGGAGGTACAGCATAGTGGATAGCCGCCGCGGGCCCGAATTAGACCTCGCCATCCCTGGGGGTCTGCGATTTGCGAAACTGTCGCCACGTTCGAGGGCCGCTGAGGGGGTGACATCATAGTGGGTAGCCGCCGCGGAGCCAAACTAGACCTCGCTATCCCTGGGGGGGCTGCGATTTGCGAAACTGTCGCCACTTTCGAAGGCTGCTGGGGGTGGACAGCATGGTTGGTAGCCGCCGCGGACTCAGATTACACCTCGCCATCTCTGGGCGCCTGCAACTTTACCAAACAATCGCCACTTTCGAAGGCTGCTGGGGGGGGTAGCATAGTGGTAGGTAGCCGCCGCGGGCCCGAGTTCGACCTCGCCATGCCTGAGGGCTGCGATTTGCGAAACTGTCGCCACTTTCGAGGGCTGCTTGGGGGGGTAGCATAGTGGGTAGCCGCTGCGGACCCAAATTAGACCTCGCCATCTCTGGGGGGCTACGATTTGCGAAACTGTCGCCGCTCTCGAGGGCTGCTTGGGGGGGGGGGGGGGCAACAACGTAGGAGGTAGCCGCCGCAGATCCAAATTAGACCTCGCCATCCCTGGGGGGCTGCGATTTGCGAAACTGTTGCCACTTTCGAAGGCTGGATAGTCGCCGCAGGCCCAAATTAGACCTCGCCATCGCTGGGGGGCTGCGATTTGCGAAACTGTCGCCAATTTCGAGGGCTGCTGGAGGGGCCAGCATAGTGGGTAGCCGCCGCGGACTCAGATTACACCTCGCCATCCCTGTGGGTCTGCGATTTGCGAAACTGTCGCCACTTTCGAGGGCTGCTTGGGGGGGCAGCATAGTTGGTAGTAGCCGCCGCGGGTACACATTAGACCTCGCCATCCCTGGGGGTCCTGTGATTTGCGATACTGTCGCCACTTTCGAAGGCTGCTGGGGGGGCAGCATTGTGAGTAGCCGCCGCAGATCCAAATTAGACCTCGCCATCCCGGAGGGGGGGCTGCGATTTGCGATACTGTCGACACTTTCGAAGGCTGCTGGAGGGGCCAGCATAGTGGGTAGCCGCCGCGGACTCACCCGCCATCCCTGGGGGGGCTGCGATTTGCGAAACTGTCGCCACGTTCGAGGGCTGCTTGGGGGGGCAGCTATGCTGGGTAGCCGCCGCGGAGCCAAACTAGACCTCGCCATCCCTGGGGGGGGCTGCGATTCGCGAAACTGTCGCCATTTTCGAGGGCTGCTTGAGGGGGCAGCAAAAGTAGGTAGCCGCCGCAGATCCAAATTAGACATCGTCATCCCTCGGGGGCTGCGATTTGCGAGGCGTCGCCACTTTCGAGGGCTGCTTCGGAGGCCAGCATCGCGATATGCGGAAACTGTCGCCACTTTCGAAGGCTGCTGGTGGGTCCAGCGGAGTGAGGCACCGCGCAGATCTGAGCGAGACCTCGCCGTCCTTGGGGGGCTGCGATCTGCGAAGCTGTCGGCAGGTCCAGCGGAATGAGGCACCGCGCAGATCTGAGCGGGACCTCGCCGTCCTTGGGGGGCTGCGATCTGCGAAACCGTCGCTACTTTCGAAGGCTGGTGGCGGGTCTAGCGGAGTGAGGCACCACGCAGATCTGTGCGGGACCTCGCAATCCCTGGGGGGGGCTGCGAGCCTCACGAATGCCGCTCGCAGAAATAGATGCGCCCATGTCACGTCATCACCTCCGTACAACGTCTCCCAAGCTACTCATGCCCCGCATTTCGCAGGGGTTGGGTTCGTCGCCAGGGTGATCCGACTATCTTCTAATACTCCTCCTGTAGACGGACATGCCCGATTTCAGCTCGGAGGCGACGCTAGGGGCGAATAGCCTAGGGGGGAGCAACACGTGTATCCAGGGGCGCCCATGATCTATGTCTTCGACAAGGCCCCCGGGCGAATGCGCGTGGCGCCCGCCCCTGGGCTACTCGCCCTCCTCGTCGCCGCCGATCGGCTCCGATGGCTGCCCCCCCCCGCCGCCGAGCGCCCGCGCTCTGCCGCAAGCACGTTGGCCTTTCCTGGCAGCGCGCCGCCCGGCTCGGGCCCGGCCCGCGGCAACGAGAGCCCGCGCTCGCCCCGCCCCGCCGCGGCGCGCTCTCCGAGGCCGCGCTCAGGGCCCCTCCCGGCGAGGCGAGAGCGCGGCTCCTCGGAGGAGCGGCGGAGGGGCGCGAGCAGAAGCTTTCGGGCCTCCGCGCGCATCTCTGGGATCGGCGCCTGGCCCCTCCTCCCATTCTCGCCATCGCTCGGACGTCCATTCCCTGTGTTTTTGTGTCGGTTTCGTGCGCGGTTTTTTCGCCGAATGATCAAGGATGCTCCTCGACGGTTCTCGCCGAGAAAAAATGCACACGTCCGAGCGATGCCAGGCCCATGGGCGCGCGGAGCGCGCGCATGGGACTGGCGCTGGGGGCGCCGATGCAAGAGATCCGCGCGAGGCTCCGAGAGTTTTACGGTCGGGAGCTCTCGCTTGGCATGTCGCGGCGGCGGCCCCGGCGAATCGCAGCGCCTTGCAGTCCGATGGCGTGTCGCTCCGCTCCGAGCGGCGGGAGAGTCGGGGCGCTGACGCCTGGAGATGGGGACGTGGATCACGTGTCGCGCAGAGGCGTGCTGGGCCAGAACGAGGAGGACGAGGAGGAGGAGAACGTGAGCACAGGAGGGCGGGAAAGGGTGAAAGAGCGAGGAGGAGGAGGAGGAGGAGGAGGAGGAGGAGGAGGAGGAGGAGAAGGAGGAGGAGGAGGGGAGGAGGAGGAGGAGGAGGAGGAGGAGGAGGAGGAGGAGGAGGAGGAGGAGGAGGAGGAGGAGGAGGAGGAGGAGGAGGAGGAGGAGGAGGAGGAGGAGGAGGAGGAGGAGGAGGAGGAGGAGGAGGAGGAGGAGCGGCGCGACAAGTGGAGCCAAAGCTCCCGGCCGTGTGCTCATGCAGTGTTCGTGCCTTCCTCCCTCGCCTTCCTCAGACCGCTCCCACCGCGGGCCACAGCAGCCCGCCCGCCGCCTCTAGGAGAAACAACAAACGGCTGCAACCCAAACTCTCAAAGATTGAGGAGGAGGAGGAGGAGGAGGAGGAGGAGGAGGAGGAGGAGGAGGAGGAGGAGGGGAGGAGGAGGAGGAGGAGGAGGAGGAGGAGGGGAGGGAGGAGGAGGGGGACGAGGGAGGAGGAGGAGGAGGAGGAGGATGGAGGAGGGGGAGGAGGAGTAGGAGGAGGAGGAGGGGGACGAGGAGGAGGAGGAGGAGGAGGAGGAGGCATCGGGAACTTCGAGACATGATGCCTGCGCCGTGTTTTGTTCCTCGACGCCCGCCGCCTCTGGGGCCGCGGCCGCCGGGGCCAGGGGACGCGATGAAGGAGAGGAGGCCCCGAAGTCTGAGACCCCCCCCCCAATCATCACACGAGGGAGAAGATTGGCACGCCCGCCACGGGTACGGAAACAGTGGATACGGTGCCCGACAGCAGATTTGGCCCCAAACCGACAGCGGCCGCTGTTTGGCAGCCGCCCTTCTGACTCAAAACAAAGACAACGTCCGCGGCTACGCCAGCAGCGACTCCGGTTTACAATGGACAGGAACTGACTGCTCATACTTTCCGTAGACCTGTGCTTGCCAGAGAGAGAGAGAGAGATAGAGAGGACCATAGAGAGGAGAAGGAGGAGGAGGCGGAGGAAGAGAAGGAGGAATAGGAGGTGTGAGGGGAAGGAGGAGGAGAAGGAGGAGGAGGAGGAGAAGGAGAAGGAGGTGGAGAGGGAGGAGGAAGAGGTGGAGGACATAACGCAACATACCTAACCTTATGTTTGCCCAATATCAAACAGGAAACTGATGCTGATGCTGTTGCTGCTGATGATGCTGATGATGCTGATGATGATGCTGATGATGATGCTGATGATTACGATGCTGATGATGATGATGATGATGATGATGATGATGATTATGATGGTGCTGTTCCTGCTGCTGATGATGACGAGGAGGAGGTGGAGGAGAAGGAGGAAAAGGAGGAGGAGGAGCAGGAGGAGGATGACAAGTGTAAACCCAATAGTCAGCACCGATGTTAGAATTAACCCTCCCTCCAAGCTCCCTCTTCATAAGCCCCTACAACGGTTCAATCCCATTGCAGGAACTGCTCTGTTGGAAGACAACCGTTTGAAGACCTTGGAGCATACCAAAACATTGTTCTCGGGATTCCCACGCCACGGATCAACTTAACTGCTGCGCCCTGACGATCTGGAATCGTGCGATAACGCCATGTTTGGGACTTCAACACCGCGAATCAACATAACTGCTGCACTCGCATAATCCTGAATCCTTCCAAAATACAATGTCTGGTACGTTGATCATGGGATTCCGTGACAATCTTGCCATGTTTTAATACGAAGGTGCGCGGCGCTCAAGCGAGAACCACATTTTGAAAAAGGACCCGCGAAACTTCTGCAATTGTTTAAAGCAAATGCGCGCGGCGCTCAAGCGAGAACCACATTATCAAAACCACCCGCCCTCAATCCGTGAAACTCTTGCGTTTGTTTCAAAACGAATGTGCGGCGCGAAGGCGACAACCACATTTTGAAAACTACCCGCCCTCAATCCGTGAAGCTCTTGCAAATGTTTAAAATGAATGTGAACGGCGCTGAGGCGAGAGCCACATTTTGAAAACCACCCGCCCTCAATACATGAAGCTCTTGCAATTTGTTCAAACATGTGCGCGGCACGAAGGCGAGAACCACATTTTGAAAACGACCCGCCTTCAATCCGTGAAGCTCCTGCAAATTTTTAAAACGAATTTGCGCCGCGCTGAGACGAGAGCAACATCTTGAAAACGATCCGCCCTCCGCCTGTGAATCTGCTGAAGAAGATGCAGGCGAAACGCCGGGCCCGCCTTAACAACTGGCCTCCGGGTGTGACAATGAGAAGTTATGTAAAAGGAATAGGAATGGAGGAGGACAGGAGGAGGAGGAGGAGGTGGAGGAGGAGGAGAAGACAGAGGAGAAGGAGGATAGAGGAGGATAGAGGAGGAGGAGGAGGGGAGGAGGAGGAGGAGGAGGAGGAGGAGGAGAGGCGGAGGACGAGGAGGGAGAAGGAGGAGGAGGTGAGGAGGAGGGAGGAGGAGGAGGAGAATACGAAGGAGGAGGAGGAAGAAGGAATATAGAGGAGGAGGAGGAAGAGGAGGAGGAGGAGGAGCCGAGGAGGAGAAGGAGGAGGAGCAGAATGAGAAGGAGGAGGACTCCTCCTCCTCCTCCTCCTCCTCCTCCTCCTCCTCCCTCCTCCTCCTTTCCACGGTTCACACCCCACCACAAACCTGCCCTTTTGATTGAGCGACCTGCCCTTTAGGGCTGTCTCTCAGAAACCTGCTGAGTCTGGCTAGGGGATGGCCTGCGTCTCTAGCAAGTCGCATGCGGTCTGTCGATCGCTCATCCCGCTCGAATCCACTCGAATCCCGACGACGACGAGGACGACGACGACGACCATGACGACGACGACGACGACGACGACGACGACGACGACGACGAGCACGACGTCGACGACGACGACAACGACGACGACCACGACGACCACAACGACGACGGCGACGACGACGACGACGTCGAACAGAAAACGACCGCCCCGCCGCCTCTGGGGCCGCGGCCGCCGGCACGAGGGCCGCGTAGCCCCACCGCTGGGCCGCGGGCAGCGCCTCGTCGGCCGCGCCGCCCAGCGCCAGCGCGCCCGCGGCCGGGCGGCGGCCGCCGCCCCGCGCCGCCGCCGCGAGGGCCGCGAGGGCCGCCAGGGCCGCGGCGGGGGCGGCGGCGGAGAGCGGGGCGCCGCCGCCGCCGCGCGGGCGGCCTTCGAGGAAGGCTCGCAGGGGGACGACGACGACGACGACGACGACGACGACGACGACGACGACGACGACGACGACGACGTACAAGGTTGCGCCCGCGACGACGACGACGACGACGACGAACAAGGTTGCGCCCGCGGCGACGGCGACGGGGACCACGACGGCGACGGCGATGGCGAGGGCGACCGACGACGATCGCGGCGGCGACCGCGACGGCGGCCGCGACGGCGCGAGGCCTTGACCTGCGGGGTGGGCTCTGAGCGTGGTCTCGAGGCGAATCCACCCGTGGCGATGAGGGAGGGGCAGCGGCATCGGTACCTTTGTTCCTCCTCTGGAGATGGCCCCCCCCCCCAAAAGGAGCCCCGAGGAATCCGCATTGGGGCGGCGGGTCCCGAGGGAAACGGGTCTTGGCTTCTGGGCTTTCTCGGGCCGGGCGAAAGGGGGGGACAGCAAAGATGGGCTTGAGAATCAGCTCGCGTAGCTGATTTTCCCGGCGCCTCCCAGCGCTGGAGGAGGCCAATGTATCGAGGAATGTGCCCCTCGGTGGGGCTGAAACCAACTGCACGCATCAGATTTCGTAACCCACCCCCTGTCCCAATTCCCCCCCTTTCGTCCGGACCGACTTTCCTGAAGGGGCCCTGGGACACACACACACACACACACACACACAAACACACACACAAACACACAAACACACACAAACACACACACAAACACACACACAAACACACACAAACACACAAACACACAGAAACACACAGAAACACACAGAAACACACAGAAACACACACAAACACACACAAACACACACAAACACACACACACAAACACACACACAAACACACACACACAAACACACACAAACACACACACAAACACACACACACAAACACACACAAACACATACACACAAACACACACACACAAACACACACACAAACACACACACACAAACACACACACAAGCACAAACACACACACACAAACACACACACAAACACACTCACAAACACACTCACAAACACACTCACAACACACACTCACAAGCACACACACAAACACACACACAAACACACACAAACACAAACAAACACACACAAACACACACACACAAACACACACACACACACACGCACACACGCACACACGCACACACACATAAATACACACAAACAACAATATTCCCAATATTTTCATATATTGTCTGGGTTTTTGTCTCCCCCCCACTTCCCATATTTTCCCATATGTTCTGGGGAATCGAGGATTCATTGTGTCTGTGTTTTTCTTGTCCTCTTAATTTCCCTAGGACGAGATCTTCATCAGCTTCTGACACTCCGAGGGCCCGTGGAGGGCCGCGAGAGCCCGAGAACTAGGGAACCGAGCTCAAAACACCGACGCTTTGTCTGGCCCTGGACTGGGACTTGCACAGGAAAGCGGATCTTACAGGGCAGTTGTTAATACATGGGATGGTTAAACTTATAAGATTTTTTAATACATGATTAATGTATGAATGAATTCATGCATGAGCACATCGTTGTTTTTAATACTGAGTCCGTGCATTTTAAAACATGATCCGCACGCGAAAATATTAAAAAATGGCACTGTAGTGTATACGGGATCCTGGTGTGTACATTTTCCGCTGTTCCTCGGGCGAACGGGGAATAAAGCAGACACCGCACCACCCCGACGTCGTCCCCGACCCTCCCGGGATTGAAGAACAGCTCGCCACTGGTGGTGAATCTGCTCCAGTCTCCGAAGAACAGCGACTGACCTCGGGACCCATTGCCTCGCCCCCGGCGAAAGACGAGCGCGGCACAGGCGTGCCCGCGTCGAGGATGACACGAGCGCGGCGGGAGGCTCCGGGGACCGTCTGCGGCCCCATGGGGGTCCCTCCCCGGGCCCCGGGGCCGTCAACGAGCTATACAGCCAACCCGTATGATGAGGATGCGCGGTAAGGATGCAGGGGCCTTGGAAGGCCATGCTGACACGTTGCGAGTGGTGCGCAGCCCGTACAAGAAGGATGCGCGGTAAGGATGCAAGGGCCTTGGAGGGCCATGTCGACACGTTGCGAGCGGTGCGCCGCCAGCGAGGGACTGGCCGAAGGGGAAGGAAGGATGCACGGGTAACCTTGAAACGTCGCTCATCCTTGTTATGCGGGTTGGCTGCACTCAGGATGAGGAATCGGTGCCAAGGAGGGGGTCTAGGCCTCCAGGGGTCCGCATGGCTCAAAACTGATTGCGTCGTATGCTCGGGGGCAGCAGCAACATAAACGTTCGAAGATCGGAGCGGAATCTTTCGATTGGCGCTGGGCGCCCCTTGGCGGAGCATGGCGCGCTCCGCGCGCCAGGGAGGGGGGCACAGCGCTGATTCAAGACACCCACGCGAATCTCCAAAAGTTTATTAATTCGGCTCATGCAGTTTTTGTTTCCCGTAGGCCCAGGGCTTCGCCGTCCGCCGTCAGCGTGAACTTCTGCTCTGCCGTGGCCGCGCCTCCGTCCTTGGCCGGCGGTGTCGCAGCTCCTTCTGCAGTGGTGCTGATGCCGTCGGCCGTAGCGGCCTGCGGCGCTTTGGGGCAGGCGCTCGGCTGCCGCCGTTATTGCTCCCGCTGGTGCTCGCAAGGTTCTGGCGCGCATGTGAGCATCATTACGGACACCCGTACACAGGCTCTCACGTAGTGTGTATGTACATGCGTGTCTATATGTATGTATGAATGCACGCATGTGTGTAAACACACACATATAGGTATATATACATATATATATATATATGTATATATATATGCACATGTGTGTACACAGGCATGTATGCTTGTGTATATGTAAAAATAGAGATACACATATACATGTGTATATACACACAAACATAAACACATACACATAACCACGACTACACATATATACATGTATATATATGTATATATGTACACATTCCTACTATACTTTCATAGGGCGGCGGACCCCGAAAAGAGCGCACCCCCCCTGACCACCTCCCTCTCGCCCAAACGAATTTCGAAACCTCGGGCCTGTCTTGCGCCGTGGGTTTCCTCAGATGTTCGACTCTCTGGGCCCTCTTGGGCCAGCCTTAGGCCTCTTTGGGGCTTGTCTCGGCACTCATTTGGAGCCGTCCTGGAGCTATCTCGACGCCTCAAGAGCCGATCATAAGCGAAAACGCGAGAAGACCAACATATTGTTTTTCTCTATGGGTGTTCGTTTATTTCAACTATCTGGGCATTATTCGGCCAGCCTTGGGCCTCTTTGAGGCAAGTCTGGGGACTCATTTGGAGCCGTCCTGGACCGATCTTGATACCTCAAGAGCCGATCGTAAAGGAAATGCGAGAAGGTGAAAAACATTGATTCCCCAATGGATTTTTATACAAATTCAATTCCTTATATCCTAAGATTGGGTTCTTGTTATTTCTTGGACGCCGCCGAGTTCTCCTCCTTCTTCTCCTTCTCCTCCCCTCTCCTCCTCATACCCAAACTTGCTCATACACAGACTGACTCACACTCAGACTTACTCATCCCCAGACTTACTCACACACAAAATTACTCCTACTCAGACCTACTCATGCTCAGACCTACTCCTACTCAGACTTACTCATGCTGAGACTCACGCACGCCCCGTTCGCGGCCGTTTTGTGGGGATGCATCAAACGGGTTGCCTGTTTTCTGTCCCAACATCCTTCGCTTTCAGAGCAGATTTGGAGGATGTCTCGAGCGAAGTGCTCATTTTCACCCACCCCCCTAAGGGGAGCCGCCAGGGGTTATATCTCACGGTCCCGTTCGCGGCCGTTTTGTGGGGATGCCTCAAGCGGTTTGCCTGTTTTCTGTCCCAGCATCTTCCGCTTTCGGAGCAGATTTGGAGGATGTCTCGAGCGAGGCGCTCATTCCCCTCCCCACGGTGGGCCAGATTTTGAGGATGTCTCGATCGGTGGCCAGACTCGTGGGCAGAGATTCTCCTCAGGATGCCACAGGAGGCTCCAACAGGCTCCAGGAGGCCCCGGAAGACCACATGAGGTCCCAGGAAGCATCAGGAGGCCACAGAAACACTCAAGAGGCCACAGCATGTCCCAAGAGGCTCTAGGAGGCCCCAGGAAGCTCCGGGAGGCCTCAGGAAGCCACAGGAGGCCCCAGGAGGCCAGAGGAAACGCCAGGAGGCCTCGGAAGGCAACAGGAGGCCCCGAGAGGCCCCAGGAACAGGAGGCCTCAGAAGGCAACAGGAATGGCTCCAATCCCATGTGTTTTACGTATGCTCCTATAGATTGGGCCTGACCTGGAGCACGAATCCTTGATGTTATATGTATGTTTCTATAGATTGTCATTCTCCTGTGTACTTATGTCCCTATAGGGCCTCTCCTGGGCACGAGTCCTTGGTGTTTTACGCGTGCTCCTATAGATTGCCTCCTTCTCCTGCGGCTCCAATCCGCAATGTTTTCTGTACGTCTGTTACTATAGATTGGGCCTCTCCTGGGGCACGAATCCTCCCTAGGAGGTCCCAGGAGGCCCCAGGAGGCCCCAAGAGGCTCCTGGAGGCCCCAGGAAGCCCCAGTATGTTTCAGGAGGCCCCAGGAGGCCCCAGGAGGACCCAGGCTCATGCGCAGAGACGCGCTCGTACGACTGATGCTCATTCACACTCCAATTCATTCTCAATTAGATTCATGACCAGACAGTCACAACTGAAGCCCGTTTATATTCGAAAGCTCTTGCGCCTAGACATTCACGGCGGACAGGTCCATGCGAATAGATGCACATATGGGGAGCTCCATGCAGTGAATAATCATTTGGTCCTTCTTCGGCCAGCCTTGGGCCTCTGTGGGCCTCGGCTTGCGCCTCTATGGAGCCATCCTGGGGCTATCTTGACGCCTCCCGAGCCGACTGGAAGCGAAAAAGCGGTCTGGCTCCGGACCTCTGGTCAGTGCGACTGCTGGCACCAGCGCGTCCCAGGGGGGAGACTCCACCTGCTCGAAACAGGCGCCCAAAACAGCCAAGATCTACACCATGGGGGGGGGGAGGGGGGGCGTACGAGGGCCCGCGCCGATCGGCAAGCAATAAGAAAACGACGACCATGCAATTGCGGTCGGGAGCTTCTGCTTCGCGTGTCGCGGCGGCGGCCCCAGCGGCACGCCCTCCTCTGCGAGCGGAAGGCGTGCCGCCGCGCTCCGCGGGGCGGGAGGCTCGGACAAGAGCGTTCGAGAAATTGCAACCTGGGGACTGGGAAGTGGATAGTGCGTCGCGCCGAGGCGCGGTGGGCCAGAGCCGGCGCAACAACACGCTATCCAGAAGATCCCGACCGTGCCAGAATCGCGCTGTATGGACTTTTTGGGGGCGCGTGTGCCCCAGTGGGTCTCCGCACGACTCGTCTTCCTCACCCTGGACTCGCGGTGCACCTGTGCCCGCACTGACCTCTCCGAGCACTTGCGCCTGACCTGGGCACATACCGAAGTACTTCACGTTTCCAGGGCGCTCCGGCCGTCTTGCGTCCCGGCCATTCTTCCCCTCCTGTCCTCCAATTCCCTTTGGCCTGGCTGGCTCTGGACGCGCCCCGCCAGCAGCCGACCGCCTGCAGGAACCACCTCGCCACCGATCGGAACAAGTGCCCAAGTGGGCTCTCGGCCTCAAGCGACGGCAAGGCCCCGCCCTGATCGGCGCAAGACGCCACTCCGCGGGACCCCCCAGCAGCCCTCGCATGTGGGGACGCTTCCGCAGTTCGCAGCCCCCCAGGGGTGGCGAGGCAACGCAGCAGAAGGCAAACAGTCCACCCCCATGATAACCACCCCGACAAGCGAGGCCGTTGAGTAAACGCGCCCCAGAAAAGGAATCTGTGGAGTAATTGCCCAGGGCCGTTTAGCCAACGCTGAGTGTCGGGTCCGGGTGGCTTTCCTTAGGGGAACAAAAAGTGACAGAATCATAACAACTCGGAGGTCCGCGCGGACTTCTCGGATCGGCGTTGGACCCCCCTCCCTGGCGCGCGGAGCGCGCCAAGGGCGGCGCCGGAGGCGCCGCCCGGGGCCCCCAGCGCCGATCCGAGAAACCCGCGCGGACCTCCGAGTATTTATGCTTATGTCACTCTTTGTTCCCCTATTTCCTTCCCCTGGCATAGGACGGCAATGTATGAGAGGCAGGCTGGCCTGCCCGGGTCGCCGACCCACCCCCGCATTGAGCAGGGACCGACCGTCCCGGCATATCTATTGCCCTACCACGACATGTTCTTAGAACCCCAAAAATGTTCTAAGAACAAAAGCAATGTTCTCAGAACATAGGTGTTAAAACAAGACAGTCCCAGCCAGAAATGTTCTAAGAACATTTCGTGGGAACCACAAAAGTCGGGAGCGGCCAAGAGGGAGGTGTCCAAGAGGGGGGGGGTGCAAATCATGACCGGCGGCATGTGCGTGGCCCAGCGGGGGGGGGCCAGGGACGTAATGAAATAAGAAGGGGCGCCATGAGATCTGGAGAACTATCATGGCCCCCGCCATGATATCCACTCCCCCTAGTCATCACCCCCCTCTTTTCCGCCCCCGAAAAAGGTTCTTAGAACATTGTTTGGTGGTGCTATGGGCGAGCCGGGACGCTCCGCCACTGCTTGACCCGCTGGCGCCCCCCGTCGAGCGGGGCCTCTGCAGCGGAGGCGCCCTGCGGGGGGCGAGCGCCCCGCCCGCGCCGCGGTGCCGGCACGAGCTGCGCTCTGGGGCGGCGGGGCTCGCCACGCTCCCCCGGCCCTCCGAATCCGATTTCCAGCTCCTCTTCCTCCTCCTCCTCCTCCTCTTCCTTCCTCCTCCTCCTCCTTCCTCCCTCCTCCTCCCTCTCCTCCTCCTCTCCTCCCTCCCTCCTCCCTCCTCCTCCTCCTCCTCCTCCTCCTCCACCTCCTCCTCCCTCCTCCTCTTCCTCCTCTCCTCCTCCTCCTCTGGAAATGGCGGGGGACAGCGTGGGCTCGCGGCGAGAGGCTGTTGCTGCGGGAGATGTGGCTGACACGGTCGGCAGTGCAAGCTTGGCTGGAGCTCCTCCTCCTCCTCCTCCTCCTCCTCCTCCTCCTCCTCCTCCTCCTCCTCTCCTCCTCCTCCTCTCCTCCTCCTCCTCCCCCCTCCCCCTCCCCTCCCCTCCCCCCTCTCCTCCTCCTCCTCCTCCTCCTCCTCCTCCTCCTCCTCCTCCTGCTGGGCCACCGCGTCCCTTGCGCGCGGAACCACCGCGCCGCCGCGCCTGCGCGCGCGGCTCCCTCGAGGGCCGTCGACCGAGCAGCCAGCAGGCTCGCGGCGGCCCAGGGGCCGAGGCGGCACCGCTCCCTCTCGAGACACTGGCACTGCGGGCCACTTGCCGGGCGTTGGCAGAACTGGGCTTCGTGGGGCCTGGTTTAGTGGTGTGTACTTCGGGAGCGGCCAGGAGGGGGGTGTTCAAGAGGGGGTGGTGCAAATCATGACCGGCGGCATGTGCGCGGCCCAGCGGGGGGGCCTGGGACGTAATGAAATAAGAAGAGGCGCCCTGAAATCTGCGGAGATATCATGGCCCGCGCCATGGTATCCCCCCCCCCTACCCCCTTTTTTCCGCCCCCGAGTAGTACTGGAAGGCTCCGCCAGGCCCCGGTCCACTGACCGGAACTGCCGTCACCTGGAAAGAAACACCAGTTACGGCAGATCTGGCTCAATGACTCTGTCCGGTTGAGAGACTCCGGGGTCCTGCTGCTAACCGGGTCCCCTTACCTGGGGTCCTGGCTATACCCGAACTTGAGGCGTGCACGCTGTGGGTGGAATGCCGTGCGGTTTTGGGGCCCAGGCGTGGATGCCCCGCACCGAGCATAACGCCGCACACTTTTGAACGGTTGCCGGGGCCCCGCTCAACGCCACGGGCCCTGTGGCCACGCCCCACACCCATCAACAATAAGAAACCTAATGCAGTGAGAACGCGTGTATGTCTTGAAACGGGCTTTACGATAACAGAAACAACTCACTCCGATGAGAACAACCCACACCCATGTGTATTGACCGCCATGCCAGTCGGCGCTGCCAATGTCTTGTTCGAGCAAATATGCCTGCCTCTCCTTTGCATTGGCTGCCTGCCTCGCAATCGCACCAGCGAGCTCAGTCAGCTCCTGTCGAAACGGGATCACCACAGGTGCGAGCGCATGCAAGCATCTCTGAGCACAAGCAAACAACTATGGGCTACGCCATATGATGCAATGGGACCCGCCTAGACCACGCAGCCCTTCACAGCCACCCGGCGTAGGCACAGCGCGCCCACACATGCGTTGCAGTTCACTGCGCCCAGTGCGTGAAGAGTTCGTGGATAACCATTAGGTGAGCAAGCGCGGGACGGAACCGACCGAGTTTACATCGGGCCTCTGTCTGGCTGCCGATGGCCGCGTCAAAGCGGGTCTGGTTCACGATGCCGCCCATCTCGTCCACTCCGAATTGTTCTTGCTGCTCCTCCCGAGAACGTTTGCTCTGCTAAACGTTCCCCACTCACTCCTTCTGGCATGCGATTCAACATTTGCACTGCTCCCGCAAATGCCTTCCAACCGATCTCCTTTCCCGGTGTACCGCGCCAAGACTCTTCTTCACAACCCCTTTTCACATAGTTATTTCGACTCTCTGCCTGTCCCCCTCGCCCTCCCCCTTGCACTCTCTGCTTGTCCCCCTCGCCCTCTCTGCTTGTCCCCCTCCCCCTCCCCCTCCCCTTTTCACATAGTTATTTCGACTCTCTGCTTGTCCCCCTCGCCCTCCCCCTTGCACTTACGGCCCGTCTCCTGTGCCCACTAACCGCCATGGCAAACTCCCGGAGCCCTCATGCTGAGTCATCGGGGCTCCGCTGGCCAACTGTTCTGCTCCAGTTGGTACTGGGTCCAATACATCTGCGTTCGCATGAATATGGACATGTGCGGGCTCGACGATCGAGACTAGGCCAATTCCAACTGTCTGGATGGCGCGACACTCAGCTCAGCACTGCTCCTTGCCTTGAGGCCCTGGCTCTGGTCATCAAGATGACACGCATCCGACCGATTGTCAACGCACCCGCCCGACCTGTGCCGACTAAACCCCGACGATAGCTACATCAATCCCTATTCACGTCATCCTGCGGCGAGATGTGGGCCTCACAGCGCACTATGCTGCATGCCACCACCTGCCCGCCCCCTCGCTCTGTCCTCGGAGAAGGTGACGGCGGTCCAGGAGCCCATGTCCTCGCTAACTCAACAGCCAAGAGCTAGAATAGGAGACACAAGCGTAGGTGAATGTTTCGGGAGAGGTTGATCTAGGGAACGCTTCAACATACAAAAGCATGTGTGCACGACGGGAATGCCAAGAGGGCACCATGCAAGCAGCAGCCCCAAACCTCTCATGTGCAGAATCGGTGGGTGAACTTTTTTGCCTGGTTCGCTGGGCCTTTCGCGATGGCAACGTGCCGACCACTTTTCTTCTGGCTACGTGTTGGGGCAAGACTCGTCATGCCACCTCTGTGGTCCGCGTGCCGTCACCAACGGATGCGCCGCAAGGAATGTGGTGCTGTCCGCCTGCACGTGAGAATTGCCTGTCAACTTGCAACAGATGCCGCGAGTGGCGCAGCAAGGGACTTTCAGATACAACTGTTGGCCGAGCATGTGGCTGTTTCAGGTTGCCCCTGGACGCCCAAGACGCGACCCCGAGCACCTCTCATTGAACACTGGCCTTGAGAGCTGAAGTGTTAAGACGGGCAGACAGGAGCTAGGCACAATCGTGCAACTTTGGTGCGCACCGAGCTGGGGGCCAAACTGGGCGCGCCTCCCAGGAACGTTGATGCCACAGAAAGCCCGATCACGATTCGCATCAAGGGCTGAGGGCGCATTTTCTTGTCACTGCGGTCGTTGTTCTGACATGCTCCGCTCTGTCCTGTGCTGTGCTCACCCTGGCCTTCCACCACATAGTGTGTTCTTCACGTGCGTTTGACCACTGCCGAAACCTCCCACAAGAAACCTAACCCTGAGACCCCAGGACGTCCATCGATTTTTGGTGCGGGAACCTCACGCTTGCCATAGCAAAGCCATCGAAACCCAAGAAACCCAGGGCAACCTGGACGCAAGCAGGGTGTTTCTTGGCATGGGCCTCCATTGCACACCAAACATTACTCTGTGTCAGACATCGGTGGGAGAAGAAGCCTGCGTTCCAACTTTGGAATGCAGGACAACCACTGTCATAGGATCGGCTGACGTGGTGGCAAGTATACTCCGCTCCTGCCCGCTGTGGAAAAAAACAGACGCTCCCGTAACTGCTCCTGCACACAACCTATACCCTGTCTGCTCTCCCTCTCTCTCTCTGTCTCACACACACGCGCCCGACATATAGTATCTACACTCTCTCTCTCTCTCTCCCTATATTTGGTTGTTCGGTATTTCTTTCTTTCTCTTTTTAAATGTCCTTCTCTCTCTCTCTCTTTTTCCCCTCCCCACCTCTGCTCTATACTCTCGGGGTTGTGCTTTCCAATGCAAGCTATCGAATTCTCACAGACTCACTGATTTGCTCTCTACTCTCTGATACTATGCTTACCTGTTCTACCCTCTCCACTCGCTCTGCTCTCTACTCTATCATCTAACCTCTCTTCTCTCTGCCTGCTCTCTACCATCTGAGATGTACTCTCTGCACCTAACTCTGCTCTTCGACCCCAGGACCCAGAACCAGGAACCCAAGAACCCTGGGCGACCCAAAAAGGGGTCCAGCTGCAAAGGGGTGGTGCAATAGATTTGGGGCAATTGTATTGCAAACGTATTGCGCTGGAGAATTGTATGGCATTGTATTGCAACGAATGTATTGCACGCGAAAATCCAGCAATACATTTGCGCCCCAGAATGTATTGCACGCCCCAAATGTATTGCAACCCCACAAATCTATTGCACCACCTCTATTGCACCACCCCTTTGTCGCTGGACCCCCTGTTGGGTCAACCCGAAGAACCCGGCCACCCGCCCAAATCGGCCCGGGACCTGGCACTAGGAACCGGGAGCCTGGCAACCAGGTCGCCTGCAGAATGGGCCTGCCACTCTCGCCAATACCTTCCACATCCGCCAAGACCCCTTCACTGCAAGCGCGGCTGCGTAAGCATAGGCTGCCGGAAATCCACGCGGACCTCAGAACGCTCGTGCTTGCTGCGCATCTGGCACGCAGTGGCACAGGCTGGCGGGGCCCGAAGAAACAACCTCACAGGGGGGGTGTGCGGGACCGAGCAAGGCGGGGCCAGCGCGCGACCGTCTGCGGCGGAGGACCGAGGGGGCTGGCGCCCACGGGGGGCTGGCGGCGGCGAGCGGCAGGAAGCTCGGAGCGCAGTCGGGTCGAGGGGGCGGAGCAAGGAGAGGAAGGATGATGCGGCAGGGCAGGGCCCTAACGTTGTTTTTCGTTTTGTTGTCGCTTTGTTGTTCGTTTTCCTCTCCCTGTTTTCCCGTACCTCCCTGCCAAAACGAAAAAACAAAACACAGCCGAAATCCAACAACACAACGTCTAGGTCCAGCACTGTGATGCGGAAGTGGGAGGCCCTCTCCTCCCTCCATCCCCCTTTTAAAAAAAACCAAATCGGCTAGACGTAAGAGTGACCCTGGGTAAGAGTGACCTTTGGTGCGCAGCTTTTGGGGGCGCGAGGGAGCCAGACCCAAGGGCGTGGGCCGCTGATCTCGCATCGTGCTCGGCGATCGGGGGGAGCCCGATGAGCCCGCACCAAAGGTTACTCCGGCGAAGGGTCACTCTTATGTTTAGTCGAACAAAGAACTCCGCCCTGCCGCAACCCGAGACGGGTCGGTAGGGCGGACCGGGCGTCTCGCCGGAGATTTCCTCACCACTTATGGCCCTGAAGCTTGAAATTCGTTGCAACGGTTTCACGGATGGAAAGCGGGCGTTTTTTTTATATGGTTTTCGCGCAAGCGCCGCGCACATTCGTCAAACAGTCGGACCTGATTGGAGAGGACACGCGAGAGGACACAAAACCCTTCCGAAAGCCACATCACCATTGGAGTGTAAGACGGCACGTGTCGCGAGGAACAGGACACAAGGGTACCCTTGAGCTGGCAGGGTCGACCTACTAATCTGGGCCGACTGTAGCAGTTTGCTCGAGTTTCGCGAGTGGAAGGTGGGCGGTTTTCGAAATGTGGTTCTGGCCGTAGCGCCGCACACGCTCGTCCTTATAGTTTGCAAGAGTTCCACAGGTGGAGGGACGTGCCTTTTCAACATGTGGTTCTCGTCTGAGCGCCGCGCTCATTCGGTTTAAAAGCTTACAAGAGTTTCACGGATGGAGCGCGGCTCCTTTCCAAAACGTTGCTCTCGCCTTAGTGCCGCGTGCATTCGTCTTAACAGCTTGCAGCAACTTCAAGGATACTGATGGATGACGTCCCAGAAATGGTGTGTGGGTACGATTTCGGCTTGTCAGGGAGCGACAATCACGTTGTTTCGTGGTGTTGCCGTCCCAAATACATTCTGGCACCATTTCAGATCGTCAATCCGCAACAGTATGATTGATTCCCGGCGTTCAAGTCCCAAGAATGGTGTGTTGGCACAATTCAAGATTTCCAAACCGTCTTCCCACGGGGATCTTCCCGCAGTGTGAGTACATCCTTGTAGGAGCCCGTGATGAGGGAACTGAGAGGGAGGGTGCTTTGGAACATCGTTGGTGGTTCTTGGGTTTGCACTGGTCCCTCCTCCTCCTCCTCCTCCTTTCTCCTCCTCCTTTCTCCTCCTCCTCCTCCTCCTCCCTCTCCCCTCCCCCCTCTCCTCCTCCTGCCCCCTCTCCTCCTCCTGCCCCCTCTCCTCCTCCTGCCCCCTCAGCAGGGAGGAATCACCAGGGTCCAGACGAGTCAAGGAAATCGGCGGCAGCTTAGCGCAGCCAGTTCAGAGGCAGGCAGGGGCCCCAGCAGTGCAGACACAGTGTAGGGGCAGAAGCGTGACTGGCTTGCCGAGCTTGCTGACAAACAAATCATGCGATGAAGGATTTCACCTCCGGGTCGGCAGACGAACACTGCGAGCAGCAGATCGCGCAAACAGCGGGCCGAAGGTGGTGCTCCGAACATGCCGTCCTCCACGAGACATGCGATGCCATGTGTTTGGTTTTGTTTCGCAGCGTGGACCGCCAAAAACTTAGACCCGTTCCCCGGGTCCGAGTTTTCACCCCGACTTGTTGTTTGACGGTCCTGGGGCCTGGAAGAGCCCCCGAAAACTATCCAAAACCGTCCGTCGTACTGCCCTGAACCACCAGCCCGCCTGTCCTATCTCCACCACTCCCTGCAGGCCGGGCGAGCAGCCGCCGTGAGAAGGATCGTGGCGAGCTTGACTTTGGGCGGCTTTCGCGGGTCGAACCACGCAACAAATCATCATACGCACAAGCTTTCGGAGGTCCGCGTGGATTTCTTGCATCGGCGCTGGAACAACCCTCCTTGGCGCGCGGAGCGCGCCAGGGGCGGCACTGGAGGCGCTGCCAGGGTGACCCCGCGCAGATCCAAGAAAATCCGCGCGTAGCTCCGAAACTTTCTGTTTATGCCGCGCTGCGCTGCTGTCGCTGCGTTGTCGACACCACCGATGCCGCCACGCTCACCTTGCAAGCGCTGCCCGAATTGAGGCGGAGCTCTGGACGTCGACGCTCCGCCGTTCGCGGAGCTGCGCGCAAAGCAGCGCAGAACATCAGAGGGAGCACAGCTTCGCTGGTCTCCGAGCTGGCTGCACAACGCCTGCGATCTTACAATTACAGGGTGAGACTGGCGAGAGATGGCCTGGCACAACAGTCTGCGGCACAGTGCGACTGGATCAGAAGGATGCGAGGTACCCATCGGTCGGAAGAAGTAGGCAGAAACATGGAGAGGGAAGGCGTTGAACACAGATTGGGTGTCCGCCCGCCTCGTAAAGAGGACGGGACAGGTGAAGCCACTCGATCATTGAAGTAGGAAGGCGCTTAAAAGTGGATTGGAACTGGGGCTCCCAAACCATTCTACGTTCAACGACCGATGGGTAAGGATGCGAGGCCCTCTGGCGCCAGATCTATAGCCGACCTTGGGAGCCCATGGCCCCCTGGCCAGGGCCAGGGTGGCTCCGAGCAGCAGGGATGCACGCCTTATCCCGAGACGGCGCACGTTTTGGTGGCACGGCACGTCGGCGAACTGTCGGCACGAGTCTGATTCCATCCAGGCGCAATTTCTCAAAGGCCGTGCACGGGGATGGTAGGTGGGAACATCGCCGTTGTCATTTTTCCGTCTTCGGGTGTAGCTCGAGACCGGAGGACCGACAACGGGCAGTGCGAGCTTCCAAGGCTCGCCGAGCCAGTTCGGCACATCGACCGAGCAGAGGTGAATTCCGCGCGGCCCCAGTGAGCAAGGGACCCCTTCCCCGGGACCAACTTTTCATCCCGAGTCGTCTTCTTTGGACGGTCCTGGGATCAGGAAGCGGCCTCCAGAGGCCGAGCGCGCCCCCAACAACTGACGGTCGCGACTCTGTTTTCTGCGCCGCCTGGATCGGAGGGAGGGCGCAGTTGGAGAGCAACTCATCGAGATTTTGTTTAACCAAAACGCAAACATAAACGTTTGGCGCTCCGCGCCGAGCGCCCAACGTGTATGTCTATTTATGGCGTGCCTTCCCCTTCTTCTTCGATCATCCTGATGGTGCGGTAGTGCTGTGCGAGTTGCTCAGCATGAGCGGCCGAACCGCTGGCCACCCTGGAGGCGGCCCCGCGCGGACGCGGGCCGGCCCAGGGGCACTGGGCGGAGCGGCAAGCTGCGCAGCCAGCTCAGGTGGGGGCCGTCAGGCTCGCGGAGCGGTCGCCCGGCCTTCTGCAGCCGCACGCCCTCGGGGCTGCGGCTGCGGGGGGGCGGGCCCGCTGCCAGGGGCGCCGAGTCCAGGCACGCGCCCGCTGCCAGGGAGCTCCACTGGCGCGGCGCCTGCTGCTCGCCGGGCGCCAGGCTGGCAGCTGCTCCCCCGCACCCAGCAGCCCACGCGGGCGCGCCCTGACCTCGGGCGTCCGCGGGGGCCGCGGCCGAGCTGCGGCCAGCCAGAGCCTGCTGCAGCAGCTCGGCGCCGACGGCGGCGCTCGGCCTCAGCGCCGAGCTCGCCCGCGACGGCGAGGCGGCCGCGCCTGGCCGAGGCGTGGCGCTGGCGCCGTCGGCTCCGCCGAGGCCCTCGGCGCCCTCCGGGCCGCAGCGGCTGTCCTCGGGCTGCCGCCCCGCAGCGCTGGCTTCCGCGGCCTCCGCGGCGGCCGCGGTGGGCGGCGTGGCCTCGCGCGGCGCTGGTCGCGGAGGGGCCTCCTGCAGCGCGACCAGCCCTGCTGCCGTCGAGGTGCCGATCGGCCCGGCCTCCTCCACCCATGCGCCCGGGCCTGGCGGGGCCCTTCCCTGCGACGCGACCGTGGCGGCCTCGCGCGGGACCAGGGCCGCCGACTCCGCCCACGGGCCCTGCGCGCTCGCGTCGGCGCGCAGCCTGGCTTGACGGAGCTCGAGCTCCAGCGCGCAGGACCGCCTCCGCCACCTGCACGCCTCGCTCTCGTGCTCCGCGAGGCCCGCCTGCATCCTGCGGGCGTCGCCCACCAAGATCCCGAGCTCGTCCTCCTTCAGTTCGAGCTGGTCCCTGAGAAGCCGCACCTCCCGCAGCAGCTCGCGCGACTGCCCCTCCGCCGTGGCCCGTGCCGCGCGCTCGGCGCGCGAGGCAGCGTGCGCCTGGTCGGCGCGGCCGTCGGCGTCGGTGAGCTGCTCCTGCACCTGGGCGAGGTCCTGCCGCCGGCCCTCGACCTCCGCGGCGAGCGCCTCGATCCTCCTCCGGGAGCGCTGCTCTTCGAGCTCCAGGCGCCTGACCTCGCGCCCCCTCCGCTCCGCCTCGCCCCGCGCCAGGGCAGCCTCGGCGGCCTGGCCGCTCAGGGCGTCCTGGAGCCGCCGCACCTCCGCCAGAGCGTCGGCGGCCGCCTCGGCGCCGCGTCCCCACCGTGCGCTGCTCTGCTCTCGCGAGTGTGCCGAGGCCATGCGCGAGGACTCGGCGCGCAGCCACAGGATGGCGTCGTCGCGCTCCTGGACCATCGCGCGCAGCATCCGCTCCTCCTGGGACCACGCTCTCCGAGAGGAGCGCGGCCGCAGCGGCTCCTCGGGCAGTGCGCCTGCCCGCGGCCCGCGCTGCCGCAACGCCTCCAGCTCCGCATGCTGCTCCGAGAGCTTCGCCCGCAGCGCAGCCAGCTCCGCCGCCTCCTCGTCGCGCGGCACGGCTCTGCCAATTGGCCTCCTCCCCCTGGCCGCGGCGGCCTTCGCTCCCACGGTGGCGCCGGCCGCGTCCGACTGCCCTTGCGCGGCGCCCACCCTGATCCCATGGGGAGCCCAGAATCGGATCGACACGTCGGATCGGAAGTCGACATGAACCGGATTGGCGGAAATCGGCAGACGAGTCGAGAAAAGTCGAATCGGCGGAAATCAGCAGGCTTGTGCGCGTCCAGTAAGAAATCGAAACCCAAATCGGAATCCAAAGCAGAATCGAATCGGAATCGGAATCCATCGAAATCCGCCGACCCCTTGTGGGTCTCTAGGCGTGTGAGATAGTTCCCCCCCCTAACCCCCCCCCTGGGACCCAAAACCGGAGATTTGACCCCCCCCCCCGGGCCCACCACGAGCGCGTCACGGGGCTCTTTTGGGCCCAAAAGGGGATCAAGACGGGCCAAGAAGGCCCCAAGACTCCTCCAAGACGGCTCACGAGGGCTCCGAGGCGCCAAACGAGCGCTCCCAGACGCCCAAGATGCCCCCAAGACGAGCCTAGAGGCCTCCAAGACGGCCCAAGAGGCCTCCAAGAGCAGTCCTCAGAAGGGCCGAAGCGCCGAAAATCGTCAAATTCCTATGGGAAAACGTACATTTGGATCATCTACTACTTGTCGGCCTTCACGGCGTTGACGACGGTCCCAGAGCACCCCAAGACCGCCCCGAGAGGCCCCCAAGAGGCGCCCAAGTCGGCCCAAGAGGGCGCCAAGACGGCCCAAGAGGCCCCCAAGACAGCCCAAGAGGGCCCCAAGACGGCCCCAAGAGGTGCCCAAGAGGGGGAGCCCGAACCGACAATCCGAGCCTTCCGCCCCAAGACGGCCCCAGAAGGCCCCAAGAGGCCCCAAGAGGCCCCCAAGACGCCCACAAGAGGCCCCAAGAGGCCCCCAAGAGGCTCCAAAACGGCCTCACAACGGCCCCCAAGAGGCTTCGAAACTGCCTCCAAGAGTCCCGCGAGAAGCCCCCCAAGAGATCCCAACGATCACCGCGCAAGTCTCATATCAACAACCCAGGCACGGTGGCGGGGTTGCGTTTGCGCACACAAAAGGATTCGCGCTCTCGAGGCCAACATTGCTCCAAAACGGCCCAGGATGGCTCCAAAACGGCCCAAGATGGCTCCAAGACGGCCCAAGACAGTTCGAAGACGGCCCAAGATGGCCTCAAGATGGCCTACAAGGCTTTCACTATCGCCCACGAAGTCTCCAAGAAGACCCCCAAGACATCTGAAAGAGGCGCACATTACGCATTTCATTACATTTCCATTGCGTTGTTGAACATGTTTGCATTTGTTGCGTTTCCCGGCTTCCGTCGGCTCACGTAGCCCCAAGAGCCTCCAAGATCGCCCCACGGCGCCCCAAGACGGCCTCAAGACGGCCCCAGAGAATCCTAACACGGCCCTGGACGCCTCCCAATTCGGCCTAAGACGACCCCAAGACGGCAAAACCTGCCTCCAAATTGGTCCCAAGCTGGTGCAAGACGCCTCTGACCCAAAACCCATAACCCAGAGCCTTGTTTCTGTGTCCCCTTCCTCCTCCTCCTCCTCCTCCTCCTCCTCCTCCACCTCGGCCGCCAGGTGGGTTCAAAACTGCTTTCCAGAGGTCCCCGAGAAGCGTGCCGCGAGATCCCTATACACATACAAAAAGCCTCTAACCCATAGCACATATCCCAGAGTTTCGTCTCTGTGTCCCCGTCCTCCTCCCCCTCTCCTCCTCCTCTTCCACCTCCTCCTCGCCCACTCCTCCTCTTCCTCCCCCGCCTCATCCTCTTCCTCCCCGATTCTTCTCCCCCCATCCTCCGCCTCACCCCCCGTCCCTCTCTCCCCCTCCCCCCTGCCCCCCCCCGCACGCGCGCCCCCGATTGGGCATCATTTGCAGGTCTTGCATATCAGGGTGCCCTTTTTTGCATCGCGTGCGACGTTGGAGGATTCCACATGGCCCCAAGAGAGGTCATTATGGACCCCTACACGACTCCCCAGCCCGATTCAAGCGAACCGGCAAGACCGCCAAGATGAGGGGTCGGCGGATGTGGCGTAAGCCTTTTGAATCGAATAACCGAATCGGAGGAATCGAAACGAGCCCTGGATCCTGCTGCCAGGAGTGCCCTCCGCTGCCTTCTGCATGCCCTTGCACCTGGCCCGGAGCTGCGCGGCCTCCTCTGCCCTGGACGCGGCCTCTGCGCTGGCTGTTGCCAGGAGGCCCTCCAAGTGGGCTCGGCTGCAACTCTCCCCGTCGACTCCAAAGGTCTCCAACCGGGCAAGATCACCGAGCCTGTCTTCGAGGCGGGCGCGCTCCTCCCTGGCCACGTCCACCTCGGCTTGAAGGGCCGCGACCTGTCTCGACGACTGGTCCAGTGACTCCTTGGCCGCCGTGGACGCGTCCTCGGAGGCTTGCCTCTCCTGCGTCCTCCTCTCTTCGGCCTCCTGCAGTTTCCCCCGCAAGCGCCCGCACTCCTCACGGAGTTCGCCACATGCTGCCTGCGATGCCTCCAGCTGTGCCCTGGCATCCTCATTGTGCGCAGCCAAGGCCTCCAACCGGGCAAGATCACCGAGCCTGTCTTCGAGGCGGGCGCGCTCCTCCCTGGCCATGTCCACCTCGGCTTGAAGGGCCGCGACCTGTCTCGACGACTGGTCCAGTGACTCCTTGGCCGCCGTGGACGCGTCCTCGGAGGCTTGCCTCTCCTGCGTCCTCCTCTCTTCGGCCTCCTGCAGTTTCTCCCGCAAGCGCCCGCACTCCTCACGGAGTTCGCCACATGCTGCCTGCGATGCCTCCAGCTGTGCCCTGGCATCCTCGTTGTGCGCAGCCAAGGCCTCCAACCGGGCAAGATCACCGAGCCTGTCTTCGAGGCGGGCGCGCTCCTCCCTGGCCACGTCCACCTCGGCTTGAAGGGCCGCGACCTGTCTCGACGACTGGTCCAGTGACTCCTTGGCCGCCGTGGACGCGTCCTCGGAGGCTCGCCTCTCCTGCGCCCTCCTCTCTTCGGACTCCCTGAGCTGCCCCTCCAGCCGGTCGCACGCCTTGCGGAGTTCCTCACAGGCCGCCTCTGACGCCTCCAGCCGTTCCCTGGCCCCCTCACACTCGTCGGCAAGGCCCTGCAGGCACCCCACCGCCTGCTCAGACTGCAGGAGCCGCCTGGCGTGCTCCGCAGCTTCGTCGCGCGCCTGCAGGCAGTCCAGTTCCTTCCCCTGCAGCCTCTCTGCGGACTCTGCGGCCTCGGCCCGCAACTTGCTCGCCTCCTCAGCCCTCAGGCTTACTTCGCCCCTCAGCTGCTCCAGCTGCGCCTGCAAGCCATGGTCGCACACCAGCCTCCGCTGTTCAGCCTCGCGCAGCTGCCTGCACTCCTCCTCCTTGGCCGCGGCCTCCTCCCTGGCCCCCTGCAGCATGCCTTCCAGCTCCAAGGCCCTCTGCGCGGCCGCCTCAGACGTTTCCCGGCTCGCCACCTCCAGGAGGAGGAGGAGGAGGAGGAGGAGGAGGAGGAGGAGGACAAGCTAGGCGCGCTCGCGTCATATCTGACGTCCTACCCCTCCCTCCCATCCCTTACCATGGCGCTGATTTTCTCTATCCGCGGACGCGTGTCGTAGCGGACCTGTGGCTCCGCGCGCGCGTGCGTAGTGGGTGGTGGTGCACGTGCGTGCGTGCGTGCGTGTGTGCGTGGTTGTCGTGGTGGTGGTGGTGGTGGTGGTGGTGGTGGTGGTGGTGGTGGTGGTGGTGGTGGTGGTGGTGGTGGTGGTGGTGGTGGTGGGTGGTGGTGGTGGTGGTGTGGTGGTGGTGGTGTGGTGTGGTGGTGGTGGTGGTGGTGGTGGTGGTGGTGGTGGTGGTGGTGGTGGTGGTGGGTGGTGGTGGTGGCGGTGCGGCGCGGTGGTGGCGGGCGGATGGGCGCGCGAGAAAAAGGCCCGCGCTGGGGCGAGAACGCCATCCTGAACGACGGAGGCCAAACACCGATCCGAAAATGAGGCCCACGCTGCAGCGGGAGCACGATTCGGAACGATTCGGGAGCAGAAATGAAGCCGGCGCCTCAACGAGAGCAGCATTTTGGGAAAAAATGACGCCGGCGCCTCAGCGAGAGTCGTTTCCCGGGATTTCCCGGGCATCCTGTGTGTAAAAAAACAGTACGCGGAGGATGCGCGGCCCAGACGCCATCAGGGGAAGGATTCGGGAGCAGAAATGAGGCCGGCGCCTCAACGAGAGCAGCATTTTGGGAAAAAATGACGCTGGCGCGAGAGCAGCACTTTGGGAAAAAATGACGCCAGCGCCTCAACGAGAGTCGTTTCCCGGGATTTCCCGGGCATCTTGTGTGTAAAAAACAATACGCGGAGGGTCCGCGGCTATCACCCGGACGCGATCAGGGGAAGAGGGAGAGTATATTCATATTGTGGAGGAGGACAGTGTCCTGACTCTGGCGCAGCGTCCGCTCGCTCTCCTCGAGGGAAACCTTTGCGAGCAGGGCGCTGTCCAGCTGCGCCCTGAGCTGGGCCTGCTCCTCCAGCGCTGCGGCCAGCTGAGCTCTGAGCGCGGCCTCTGCTTCGGCCTCGTCGGCCGCCGCCTTCTCCATCTCCCCGCGCATCTCGCGCTTTCTCTGCTCGAACTCCCTCTGCAGGCGTTGGCGCTCCTCGCGGATTTTCTTCTCCTTCGGGCACGCACTGACCCGGGTCAGCGCAAACCCAGGTCGGCCAGGGCACCGTCACGAAGCCCAACCGGCCACTTAATAGCTCCCAAACCCGGGTCAGCGGAGGGCGGAAAGGGGGAATCAGCCCCACGTGGCTCCCAGACCAGGGTCAGCCAAAGGGGATTGGCTGATCCCCGTCAGCGCTGACCCTCGTTAATTACGTGAGCCCCGACTCCTGACCCGTGTTCATCTCCGCGAAAGCCTGGTCCTTCTCCAGGTCGAACTGCTCCGCCAGGTCCTTCCTGTGCATCGCCATCTTGACCTTGTTCTCGGCCTCCAGCCGAGCAACCGCCTGCTCGCCCTCTGCCGTTCTCCTCTGCCGCTCCTGCTCCAGCCAGTCCGCGACTTCCCGCTCGACGCGTTCCTTCTCTGCCCGCATCCGCTCCTCGCGGTACTCCTCCACGTCCCTCCCAAGGCCATCGCTGGCACCTGCACAGTCGGGCTCCGCAAGCGGGGCAGCGGCAGACACCTCTGCGGGCGCGCCGGCCTCACCCGGCAACGAGCGAGCGGCGGCGCTGTCACGCGGGTTCTCGGCGATTGGGGCCAGGTCGGCGCCAGCACCCGCTGCCTCTCCTGGACCCCCTGCCCCTGGGCGGCGGCGAGCGAGGGGGGGAAAGTGAGAAGGAGAAAACCCTCGCAGAAGGCAGCGGGACTTCTCAGAAGCCTTCCGGCCTTCTGAGAAGTGCTCCGTGTCTTCGGGGAAGGCTTAAAGACTTCTCAGAAGGCCCGGGGGCTTCCGAGCCTTCTGTCGGCTAGACGTAAGAGTGACCCTGGGTAAGAGTGACCTTTGGTGCGCAGCTTTTGGGGGCGCGAGGGAGCCAAACCCGAGGGCGTGGGCCGCTGATCTCGCATCGTGCTCGGCGATCGGGGGGGGCCCGATGAGCCCGCACCCAAGGCCACTCCGGCGAAGGGTCACTCTTACGTGTAGTCGATTCTGGGAAGGCCCGCCCCTTCTCGTTTCCTCCCGGCATCGCAGCTGACCTGGAGCGCCCCTGGCAACGTCCAGCTTGGCCTCCCCAGAGTCGTTCGGGTCCCCGAGCGAGTTCTCCGGGTCCGGGTCGCGCGGGCCCTCCCCAGACCTGGCGCTCTGTTCCGTCAGCGACTCCTCCAGCCTCAGCTGCCCCCAAAACGCAGCACGCAACCCGCAGCGCTTTGATCCGGGGCTCTCGAGACGCAGATTGGAAGCGTGCGTTTGGCGCGATAACCCGCCCCCCAAACGTGGGCCAACATCCTGTGCCAACACGTGTCGGCACGGACGTCGTGAACACGATGCGTGTTGCGTCTTCGGACGGGCGTATCAGGACAACTAAGCCCCCAACACATTCTCTAGGTCGACGTCGCGCATGGGCTGGTGGACGCCAGAGCCCAACGCGGTCATCCCTCGGAGGCCGATGCCGACACCGGAGATCGGACGGAGCTCCTTCACTGCCCTCAGCTCCGCACCCTCGGCCGACTTCTTTGCTTTCTTCTCCTTGCCGTTTTTTCTGTCCTTCTTCTGTTTCTTCTCCGCTTTCACCTCCCCCTTGCTGCCTGAGCCGCTTGCGCCCCGCGCTCCGCTGGCAGACAAGCTCTGATCCGCCTCATCCTTCACCTCCTGGCCGTCGTGCTTCTTGGCCTTCTCCTTGTGGTACAAGTTCCTGTGGTACTCGTCGCAAGGATGATCCCAGATGCTCTCGCCAGTCTCGAAATTGAAATAGAAGACGTCGCCGTCTTCGCCAGTCTGGCACGGCTTCCACGGAGCGGGCAGGGAGGCCTTGAGACCAGATCTGGCAATCCACAGAAGATCGGCGTCCTTCTCCAGGTCCATCCCGAGCCACGTGGCGTACTGTTCGATGTCTTCCTCGTTCGGCTCATAGTCGCTTTCGAGCTCCTGCCCCCCGGCGCTCCTCCGCCGCCTCCTCCGCCATGACCTCCTGGACCCCCCCCTTCCTTCGGAGAACCGACAAGCACACACACACACACACCCGTACGGGGGGATGGGCAAAAGGCTCAGCCTGCGATGGCGGTCTGCTGGGCTGGACATCTACATCCCGCACGTGTGCCCCAGTCGGAGTCCGCCCCTCGAGGGCGCATGGCGACGTCTTTTGTTTCGTGCCTCTTGGCTCTACAATCCTGTCTCCAGTCCGCTGTCTTCTCGGGGGCCCGCGGGCGGCGTCAAACAACAATCTCATGGTGAGTGTGTGTGTGTGTGTGTGTGTGTGCATGTGCGTGTGCGTGTGTGTAGTGTGTAGTGTGTAGTGTGTGGTGTGTGGTGTGCAGTGTGCAGTGTGTAGTGTGTGTGTAGTTTGTTGTGTGTGACGTGTCTGTGTGTTGTCGCTGTTCTTGCTGGGACAGAGTTCGCCGCTTCGCCGCTGACGAAAAGTGTGTGTGTGTGTGTGGTCGCGGGCCGGATCGTGGGAGACCGCAGCAGCACAGTGAACGGACCGCCCGCCTCCAGCGCCGGGCGCCCGGGCTGCCGCCCCGCCTGCGGGACCCTCCGTGCAGGCGGGGCGCTGCTCCTCCCTGCCCTCCCCCCCCGCCCCACCCTGTGCCTTGTCCCCTCCCCTCCCTCCGCGCGCCGCCATGGCGCCCGCGCTACAGCCGCGGCTTGCAGCTGCCCCCATGTGGCCAGCGCTCCTGGGCCTGCTCTTGCCGCCCCGCACCCCGCCTCACGGGCCCAGCATTTCGCTGGTGGCAGCCTGAAGCCCAGATTGCTCGTGTACTTGCCGTACCCTGTCGACCCAGACCCCCGACTGGGCGGCCTCACGGCGTTTTCCTCGACGTGCAGGTGCCTAGTCCTACTTCACCGACGGCGTCACTGAGATACCCTTTGCTTTCACGTACTGGCCACTCTGCCTCGCCGCCGACGAAAAAGTGTGCGTGTGTGTGTGTGTGTGTGTGTGTGTGTGTGTGTGTGTGTGTGTGTGTGTGTGTGTGTGTGTGTGTGTGTGTGCGTGCCACCCCTGCATCTGCATGGCGCCCTTCTCCTCGTGCCTTTGCTCCGACGTGTTTTCCCAATGCACGCGTCAGCCACTTCCTGACCATCCACCGGCAGTCGGTTAGGCGTAATTCTCTAGGCGTGCCTCGCCATAGAGCTCGCTGCGTTGGTTCAACCAGCCAGGATGTTAACACGTGTGCGTGTGTGCGTGTGTGTGTGTGTGTGTGTGTGTGTGTGCGTGTGTGCGCCTGTGTGCAATCCTGCAGCCGCACTTCGCGCCCAGCACGCCTGCGGAGCGCAGATCTCGCTCCCCGACCCCAGGTCGCAGCCAGAACCCGCCAGGTGGGCCTGCTCTTTCTGCTGGACCATCCCCCACAGGGCAATCAGGACAGGTTGTCCTGCTCGGACTCGGGGCTCTCGGCCCGTTGGCTTGCCTTTGTAGAAGAAGAACAGACACGGTATAGGCATTAACTTTTGGCTTGCCCCCTGGCGGCGCCTCTGGCGCCGCCCCTGGCGCGCTCCGTGCGCCAGGGAGTGGGGTCCAGCGCGGATCCAAGAAATCCGCGCGGAGCGCCAAAAGTTTCTGTGTGCCGTCGTGCCGTTTTGTTCTTCGTCTCTTTCTTCGGCTCTGGGGAGCCCTCGACGCAGCAGGCCTCAGCTCATGCGGCGAAAGCCTCGGCGCCGCTTCGCGGAACCGCCCCCCGCCCCCGGGCCCGCACCCCTGCTGCGGCCGCCGGGACTCGCGACGGCAGACCTGCGGCCGACCCCCCGCCGGGCCCCAACGCTCGCCATCAGGGCGCGGGCGACGCTTCGGCTGACCCTTTGAGCAGGGGCCGACCGTCCCGGCATTCCCATAGTCCTGCCACGAAATGTTCTCAGAACCCAGAAGTGTTCTGAGAACAAGAGCCGTGTTCTCAGATTACAAGCCCCACGTGCTAAAACAAGACGACCTCCGCCAGAAGTGTTCTGAGAACGCTTCGTGGAAACCACGAGAGGTTCTCAGAACATCGTGTGGCAGGGCTGCAGGCGAACCAGGACGCTTCGCCACTGCTTGAGACCCCGTGTGCTCCTCGGACGATGCATCGCTCGGGGAGCGGCGCCGGCTCTGCCGCCTCTGGCGGCAGGCAACGGCCTCGTCGGCTCGGAACGGCGCCTCTGGGCACCGATGCCGCGCGGACGGCGACCACTTCGCCCCCGACGACGGCACTGACGACGGCGGCGACGCCGGGCCGGACGCCACCGTCACTAGGGGAGCAAAAAGTGACAGAAACATAACAACTCGGAGGTCCGCGCGGACTTCTCGGATCGGCGCTGGACCCCCCTCCCTGGCGCGCGGAGCGCGCCAGGGGCGGCGCCGGAAGCGCCGCCGGGGGGCCCCAGCGCCGATCCGAGAAATCCGCGCGGACCTCCGAGTTTTTATGTTTATGCCATTTCTTGTTCC